CATTTGCATACCAGATGGAATTCAGGTCTCCCTGAGCTGTATAAATGTCAGTGAGTGACTGAAGGTGGTGTCTTGAGAATGCCCTGTGGGAGGGGTGAAACGCGTTGATGTACTTCCGTTCCGCCATAATTTGAGTCTACGTCACTTCCGGTGTTTGGAACGCAAGCAGAGTGCGTTCCAAGCGGCCATCTTCAGAGGGGGAAGGCTGATCATCCTCTGCTATCCAACTGAATCTCTCTCTCATTATATTTGACCATGTGAGTGGCAGTATTACACTATGTAGTCTTTTTTCTCTGCTATATTGAGGAATTCATGGAGGGATAAAGTGGAGGCGTTTTATCCCCATTAATGGCAAATAAGATTTGATCTTATCTAGAGGGCTTAGGATCCCTTATATCCTATAAGGCTCATTACTCACCTTCATCTGGTGAGTGTGGTTGATATTATTTTACACATGGTGGAAGGTGGCAGTATATGCTGAATAAGTTATACACTGAAATTCAATGAAAATAAGATAATGGATCAGTCCACCCAAGAGTGATTTTAGGTCATAAGTGGATCCTGGTGATCCGAATAAGCACCTGGCCTCTTTGTTGTTTTGAGTTTTCCCAGCACAGTTGTGTCCCAGAATCTCCTGTTGTAGTTCCCTTAATACAATGCTCAAAAAAAATTAAACACTTTGAAAACTCGGATCTCAAATGGGGGGGGGGGGGGAAATTATATCATGCTGGATATCTTTTATGCATGCCTGATAATGTTGGGGCATGCTCCTAATGAGATGGATGGTGTCCTGGGGTATTCCCTCCCAGATCTGGACCAGGGCATCACTGAGCTCCTGGACAGTCTGAGGAGCAACCTGGCGGCATCGGATGGACCGAAACATGATATCCCAGAGGTGGTCTACTGGATTTAGGACAGGTGAGCGTGGGGGCCATTGAATTCCCATCAATTCCTCCAGGAACTGCCTGCATACTCTCACCACATGAGGCTGGGCATTGTTGTGCACCAGGAGGAACTCTGGACACACTGCACCAGTGTAGGGTCTGACAATGGGTCCAAGGATTTTATCCCAATACCTAATGGCAGTCAGGGTGCCATTGTCTAGCCTGTAGAGTCTGTACGTCCCCCCATGGATATGCCTCCCCAGACATATCACTGACCCATCACCAAAATGTTCATGCTGAACGATGTTACAGGCAGTATAACGCTTCTCCAGACCCCCACGTCTGTCACGTGTTCCAGTAGTGGACCTGCCAATTCTGGTGTTAAATGGCAAATGCCAATTGAGCGCTATGGTGCTGGGCAGTGAGTACACGGCCCACTAGAGGATATCAGGCCACCCTCAAAGTCTGTTTGGTCAGAGACATTCACAAGAGTGGCCTGCTGGAGGCCCCCCACCTGTAAAACCATTCCTGTTTTGGGGGTCTCATTGTTGCCCATCTAGTGCACCTGTTAATTTCATTAACACCAAAGCAGCTGAAAACAACAACCCCCTCTGCTACTTAACTGACCAGATCAATATCCCAGGAGTTTAATTGACTTGATGCTATACACTGATTAAAAAGCGTCCTTTAATATTTTTTTTTTTGAGCAGTATATATAGTATAACAGTTGCAAGAAAAAGTATGGGAACCCCTTGGAATTACGTGGAGTTTTGCATGAATTGGGTATAAAATGTGCTCTGAACATCATCTAAGTCACAATAGAAGAACAGTCTGCTGAACATAATACTACACAAACGTTAGATGTTGCCATGGTTTAATTGCACATAACATGTAAACATTCACAGTGCAGGGAGGAAAAAGTATGTGAGGCCCTAGCTTTAATGACTTCTGCCAGAGCTAATTGGAGCCAGGAGTGAGCCAACCTTGACTCCAATCAGTGTGATGATATTGGATGTGTTGCCGACAGCTGTCCTGCCCTTAAAAAAAAAAAAAAAACACCTGTTTTGGGTTTACTGGTTTCAAGAAGCACTGTCTGATGTGAACCATGCCTCACAGAAAAGAGCTCTCAGAAGACCTACGATCAAGAATTGTTGACTTGCATGAAGCTGGAAAGGGTTACAAAAGTATCTCCAAAAGCCTTGATTTTCATGTGTCCATGGTAAGACAGACTGTCTACAAATGGAGAAAGTTTAGCACTGTTGCTACTCTCCCTAGGCGTGGTCATCCTGTAAAAATGACTGCAAGAGCACAGCGCAGAATGCTGCATGAGGTAAAGAAGAATCCCAGAGTGTCAGCTAAAGACCTACAGAAATCTCTGGCACAAGCTAACATTTTTGTTGACACATCTACAATAAGGAAACATTAAACAAGAATGAAATACATGGGAGGACTCCACGGAGGAAGCCATTGCTGTCCAAAAAGAATATTGCAGCACGTTTGAAGTTTGCAAAAGAGCACCTGGATGTTCCACAGCACTACTGGCAAAATATACTGTGGACAGATGAAACCAAGATTGAGTTGTTTGGGAAGAACACACAACACTATGTGTGGAGAGAAAAAGGTACAGCACAACATCAAAACCTCATCCCCACTGTAAAACATGGCGGAGGGAGCATCGTGGTTTGGGGCTGCTTTGCTGCCTCAGGGCCTGGACGGATTGTTGTCATTGATGGGAAAATGAATTCCAGAGTTTATCAAGACATTTTGCAGGAAACCGTATGACCATCTGTCCGCCAACTGAAGCTCCGCAGGGGATGGGTGATGCAACAGGACAATGACCCAAAGCATACAAGTAATTCAACAACAATGGCTGCAACAGCACAGAATACACCTTCTGGAGTGGCACAGTCAGAGTCCTGACCTCAACCTGATTGAAATGCTGTGGCATGACCTTAAGAGAGCGATTCACACCAGACATCCCAAGAATATTGCTACACTGAAACATTTGTGAAGAGGAGTGGTCCAAAATTACTCCAGATCATTGTGCAGGTCTGATCTGCAACTACAGGAAACGTTTGGTTGAGGTTATTGCTGCCAAAGGAGGGTCAACCAGTTATTAAGTCCAAAGGTTCACATACTTTCCTCCCTGCACTGTGAATGTTTACACGTTATGTGCAATTAAACCATGCTACACAAACATTAGATGTTGCCATGGTTTATGTTCAGCAGACTGTGTTCTTCTATTGTGACTTAGATGACGTTCAGAGCACATTTTATGCCCAATTCATGCAAAACTCCACGTAATCCCAAGGGGTTCACATACTTTTTCTTGCAACTGTAGAAAATCCAACAGGGAGAGCAGGACTCCAGTTTTTTGCTACAGCGGGTGTGTACCCAGGAACTCAAGCAGATATCGCATGAATGCAGTCTTGGAGGTAAAGACCTGAGTCATTTCTCTAACATTTGAAACATTAGTTTTAGGTGGAAAAGTCCTATTTCCCCATTGAGACATAATGTACATGCTGTGTTAATCTTTGTGTTGTACACACTTAGTAGCACTCAACTTGTATATAAGGAAGCTCAAATGTTTCATACTAAAAAGGCAAACTTTTTTCCCCCCCCATTTTGGATGGCATAATAACCTGTCAGTTTTTTTGCCATGTGTCTCATTGGAGATTTCCCCTTCACTTACTCTCCCATAGTAAATACAGGAGAGAAAAGCCATCCAAAGTGAGGGAATCCCTGGTTTTAAATCAGAACTAGTTTCCCCATTGGAAGATTTCCTCTCTGTTCTGGGGGAATCCCAAAATTTAGCATTCTCTCACTTTCAGCGATAGCAGTAAACAGTACAAAGAAAGTGAATCCCCCTAGCAGGGGCACAGATGGCAATAAAAAAAAAACCTGACAAGTATTTTAATTCTTCTCCACTATCCAAAAGAGAAAGTTTTGCCTTTAAACATTTCTCCTCTGCCCTATAGCAGAAATACGGCTACAGGGTAGCACAAAAAACACACAATTTTGTAGTTCTGGGTAGGGGGCGCACGTGCCCTACCTGTGCTGTTATTGTGCCCTCGGCTGTCAATCACCGGGTCCTGGCCAGCGATTACTCACTGGCACTCGGTCATTGTGAGTATTACGAATGGGGGAGAGAACTATATGTAAACAATACAGTTCTCTCCCTGTCAGCTCTTGCACATAATGTGAAACAGCACAGTTAACCCTTTGATTTCCCCAGATGTTAACCCCTTCCTGCCCAGTGCCATTAGTACAGCAGCAGCGCTTTTGATTAGCACTGATTACTATTGGTGTCACTGGGGATGTCTGACACCAAGTCCGTTCCCCCAGTGTCAGAATGCCTGCCGCAGTCCCGCTATAAGTCGCTGATCGCCACCATTACTAAAAAAAAAAAAAAAAAAAAAAAAAAAAAAAAACAGTATATACATATATATGTTTACATACACACTGCCATTTGTAAAACGCTATAACTCAAACCAAATTAGAGATTTTTTTTTTTTTTTTTTTTTTTTTTTTTTTTTAGCAGGGACATGTAGCAGAATACATTTTGTCCTAAATTAAATTTTTTTTATATGACATGTTTAATAGCAAAAAGTCAAAATTGTTTTCTGCGCAAAAAAAAACATGCACAGACAATCAATTACCACCGAAAGAAAGCAGTTTGTGAGAAAAAAACAAACCCCCCCCCCCCCAAAAAAAAAAAAAATGTAAATTGCATTTGGGTGCAGCATCAAAGCATTGCATGACTGCACAATTACCAGTTAAAGTAATGCAGCTCCATAATGCAAAAAAAAATGGGGCCTGGTCAGGAAGGGGGTAAATCCTCAGGAGGGCAAGTGACTATACAATAATCTTTAGCAGAGCAAAACAATTCTTTAAATTTTATGTTGCATTAACATTGAATATACATTTCACACATCTCAATAGGGGGCGCTGAAAACTCCCCATAGCAAGAGTGCACAGATGACTGCTGTGATATGTCTGTATAAGGGTTAACAATGTAAAGTGGTTTGAACAAGATAGCTCTGCAAACATAGCTGAGCAATTGTTTGAAGTGAATGGAAAGTCAAAGCAATCTCAACTCAAAGTCAGACGTAGAGGTCAAACCCATAGAGTATGTATGGACGTCTGTCTCAGTGTTCTGCAAATGTATGCAGAAGAAACTGAAGAATTGACTCCTGTAAATGTATATATAGATAATATACTCACAAGGAGAAGTTTGCCATCGTTTACTTCTCGTACCAGCAAGGTCTCTTTCCCATCCCATTTCTGAACATGTTTCAGTTTATCATCTTCTAGAGTTGCCAGGGACTAAAAAAGGAAAAAAATATATATATTATATTACAAGTGGCTCTAGGCAACTTCATTGTTTAATGTTAGGTATACAATATTTCAAAGTGCTTTCAAAACAGCACTAACAATTTAGTTCATTGGGTATTGTACACAACTGGCATATTTGAGAATAAAATGTCCAATCACTAAACACGGTTTTGTGTTTTACAAGCGCTTATGCCACATTTAGTGTTTTTCTGCTGCCAGGAGAGCTTAACATCTAGTGTGTACGAGGCCTTAGGTACACGGCTGCTCCTAAACATGTCTAGGAGCTTTTGGCAGTTTTGCTAAAGCCCCTGAGCTCAACTCAAAAAAGCCTATGTGTCCATGTAGGCTTTTACCAGAATTTAGGGGCCAAGACTGCATGCAACCATGAACCCCCTAGACATTTAGCTCTCCTGGCAGCAGAATAACTAAACGCAGCAAAAATGCGTGTAAACACAGCAATGCATTTGGCCAATCAAATGAATACACATCAAAGCTAGAGTATTTTCCATTGACCTGAATATAACGCCCAAGCTCTAAATACGGCTAGCGTTTAGATGTGCTATTGTCACATTTCGCTTATTTTTGTCAAAAACATTCCTCTCCTGCATGAGATTCTTCTATGTTCAAGAGAGGAACATTTAACAGCCCCTAAGCTCTGCTGCTCCTAAACTCTGGTAAAAGCTTGAGTTCAGGCACATTGGCAAAAAAAAAAAAAAAAAAAAATCCAAAAGCTTCTAAACTCACATTTAGGAGCAGCAGTGTACAAAAACGTAGTCTCCTGAACACAGAAGAATCTTGTCCAGAAGAGGAATGTTTGACAAAAAAAAACCCCCACAACAAAAAGGCACTGTGTAAACACGTTTAAACGCTAGCCATGTTTAGCACTTGGGCATTTATTCGTGTCAATAGAAACTACTCTGGCCAATCAAACGAGTAAATGTGCAGGTGCTAAACGTGAGTAAATGTGGCTAAATGCAATGCCACATTTACACGTGTTTTTTCTGTTGCTAGGAGAGCTAAAAGTTTACAGTAGTCAAGTTCATGTGTACATGAGGCCTTACATTTACTTCTACTCGCATCCTAGTGGCCAATGAGGCAAGTCACACCGACCTGACGGACAGAGCTTGGAGAACTCAGACTAGTTCCCCATCAGATCTGACTTACCTGTGATTGACAGCAGATGGCAGTTTGCATATTCCATAGCCACTATTCAGTTCAGTAGCACCTTTGAAAGGAGTCTACTGCCAATCACAGGCAAGATAGACCTGATGGGGAACTAGTCACAGTTCCCCCATGAGGCTTCATCCAACCAACAATTTTATGGCCAATGAGCCTTTTGGGTGGGAGAAGCCTGATGGGAAACTTTCAGACTAGTTCCCATCAGGCCTGCCTTGCCCGTGACTGACCGCACACTACAATGGTCAGATTCTAAAGCTGCTTTTGGACTAAAGAGTGGCTGTAGATTTGCCCACTGCTGTGATCTGTCAAGCAGCAATAAAGTGAACCTGATGAGGAACTAGTCTCAGTTCCCCACCAAGCTCTACCCACCTCTAGTTCCCAACACCTTAGCCATGCGCCTGTTGACGGGTGCAGTGGATGGGGAGGGAGGGCAGGAGTGACAGTCACAGATGCAGCTGTCTAGAGGGGTGAAGTATGGCTTGGCCAGTCTGGTCCCAGGAGGGAAGACTGCTTTCCTGATTAACAAAGCCCTAACCTACATGGAAACAGCACCTTTGTTTCCTGTGGTATAGCGAGCATCAAGACATGGCAAGGAATAGGTTACCATTCATGTTCAAAATTAATGAGCTGCCCCAATGCAACGCATGTAACAAGCATGTGTTAAACGCAACTATGGTGCCTTCCAAGTGATTAGCAATTCTGTTGAAAATATGGGAAAAGAGCAAAAGCCAGGTATGCTGTAGTAGTGTACCATAATAATGTCCCCGTGATGTAAATGCTAGGACAAGCCTTGTATAGCATTTTTAGTGGTACCTTAATAATAAGTTCACCTTTGAGCAGAATTTAATAGAAGTTTTCCAATACCATTTCTAGCCCAGCCATCCCAATGTACTTTTCTCTCACCTCATTCACCAGGACATTTAATTTGTCAGTTCGAGAGATTTTGAACAGATTTGCATCATATCCTGTTGATGGTCTCAGCATTCACTTCCTGTAGGCCACTTCTCAGAACCCTTCACTTCCTTGTTGCATTACAGAAGAGGGTGTGATAGGAGAAAGGTAATGATGGGGATGTGGTCCAGAGTGGTGAACACTCCCTATCAGCTCTGTAGTACAAGGGCCTGTGATTTGATACCAGTTGAATAGATTGTTAAATTTCCTTTAGATTTACCAGAACTATGTACAATCTCTGTTCAGGTGTGTCCTCCTACAATCAGATTGCATAGTGTATGGCCATCTTTATACAAGTACATAGGAGGGAACAGATGGATGCCCCGTTCACATTTCCGCATGTGCTTGTTTGGGTGTTTTCACTTGTCACGCATAGGACAGTCCATTCACTTGACTGGGCTGCCATTCATGCAAACAATTGCCCCAGAAGAGCACCAAACATTTTTTGAAGCAGAGCACTGTGCGTTAGTGAAGTTTCTGGTGCGTTTGCCACACTTTGGGTGCCTTTAACAGAACACTGAAAGCACAACTAGTTAATTTTAGATGTATAAGTGTGGCCACACACTATACTATCTCCTTTAGATTTACCTATACCAGGGGTAGGCAACCTGCGGCTCTCTAGCTGTTGCGGAACTACATTTCCCATGAGGCATTGCAACATTACAAAACTGACAGTTACAGCTATGTCAATATAAACAGGTGCAGCACTAATACAAAATGTATAGAATAGCTAAATAATTCAGATCATAAGAGTGGTAAAAGGTGACATGTCTAATGCATTCAGTTATTTTTCACACTGTTTTTAAAATAGAATATATAAAGTGCAGAGTAATAACCACATGATGGTGGTAGTGGTAAAAAAAACAGTCCAAACAATTGAACGTGAGGATCTCGTCAGATCACAACCAAAGTGGTTGTTTTCTTATTCAGGGGTGACAGATGTGACTTAAGTGAAAGGCGCACTCACCAGAAGTGAGCTAAAAACACGCATTTGAGAGATTAATACTGTCTCATCAGGTATGTTCAAGTCATCTGCTCCAAGATCAGGCCAGGTTCCTATTCCCTTCTGGGATAAGGCAGTGTTTATCACCTTAATCGGCCACAGAACCTGTGTAATTAATATGTGTTTTATTTAAAGTGATGAGGTGGCAATCCTAATCACAGCAGGGGTGACCTGTGGTCTGCATGTGGCCCGAGTCTGAAGGGACACTGGGATAGCCAGGCAAATGCACGTGGGGAGAGATCCTGGGGATGCCGTGAAAAAAAAAAAAAAATTATAAGAGTTGATAGGTGAATGGTGTGCACTGAGGTCAGTGCGGGATGTGTATGCTAATGAGATCAGCTGGTAATCTGCTTCCAGGGTCCTACTGGCTCCTTGGTCCTCCCTCTACATTCCAGGAATTGAAAAAGCCTTCTAAAAAAATTTCTAAGGGCTAAGGCAAGGCCTTATTCTCCAGATCAAAGAGCTTGAATATTTTTGCAACTGAGGTACGTTAATGATAATTTGTTGCATAGGAGAGCTGGATTTTTTTTTCTATTTAAATAAAGTAGTGAGTGAACTTAGCCTTTAAGCTTTATTTTATATAAAAGAAATGTTAAAGTAGACATATTTGGCATTCTTTCCCCAAATTATTTGGCTTTCCTTCCAAATTCATTCAGCTTCCAGATACACTGTTGCCTAAGCCAGCAAGTACATTTTTCCAACCACCTTGTAACAGCCACATGCAAAATACTTTCCATTCCAAAACCTCAGCAAAATCTGTCTTCTTTCCAGGGCCGCTGATGTCACATGACAGATATACCTCTTGGCAAAGTCTACGGTTTGTCCTTAAAGCACTACAACAGTGGATACACAGCCTGACCTGACACTGCTAACATTTGACTTCAGCTTATAAAATTTTATTTCTATATAACATTTATTTATATGGTTTTTAGTTACAAATAAGCAGATCTGTAGCAGTGGGTTTAAAGCATGTGTATTGCATTAAGGTAGCCTGTTCATTTGAATGGGTTCCCTAATGCAGTACAACAGACCTAAAAATTATACTTGCATCTCCTGTGTCACAGGACAATGCACAGCACTGCAGTACTGTGTGCTTTTACACAGATGTGTTGGTGGTGTCAGTTACCATTCAAAAAAGGAATGGTGCAACAGTGCATGTAACATGTTACTGCAGAGTAATGTGAATGGGCCCCTAATGTGTGTTGCGCTCCCTTAAGAGAAATCTACCCCCCTCCCCCCCCCCCCCCCCCCCCAACCTACATTTACCCAACAATGCAATCTTTATATGCAGGGCAATAAGCTTTGTACCATATTTTCTCCTCTGCATGTGCAGTGATCATGGTCTGTTCATCCCTCCCCCCCACCTTTGCAGATGAGAAATTGGACTGCCATTTCTAAAAACAATGTGATCATGTGATCAGTTCATCTGCCACTGCTTTGTGCTATTAATAAAAAACCACCACACACACACACACACACACACACACACACACACACACTTTGAGAAATTCTCGTCCACCTTTCCATTTGCTCTGCGCTAAGCTGTGTGGGTTGCAGGTTCTGGCTGGCAATTCTGTTCAGCCTCTTCCATACACAAGTCCAGTATAACTGCCTCAAGAGGGACAGCAGACATACTGAAAACCTAATTTTACTACTGGTGTACTTTACGCAGTATTAAGCCCCAAAACATGTATTTTATTGCAGCTGGCTAATTTTTAGAGGTAATGGCTGTATTCACTTTGATTTTTTTTATTTTCATCTAGTGAGCCAGCAAGTTTTTCAAAAGAACAAGCTCTCCAAAATGTATCAGTTACAGAGATGATACAAACCATTTACCACTGACAGGGGTGCTTACAATGGTTCACTTTTATTTATGCAAAAAAACTTTATCCCAAAAAGCTAAATGTTTGCTGTAACTGCTTATAAAGTTACTAACTGGAGTTTGGGTTCAATTTGTTAGATGTACTAGCAGATTTAGATACACTAACACTCACTCCATTCCCCCCCAGACTGAATGCTGCTGTCCAAAGGTGCTCCCTGCACTTCACCTAGAGTGGGGGCACTCTAATACAGGAGGTGTGGTACTGGTCAGATCCCCAGTGAAAACAGGATTAAAAAAAAAAAAAAAAAAAAAAAAACTAAAAAAGGAAATAATGCAGCCACCACATCTGATTGGTAAGCTGTAATACATTAGTTTTGGCTTTAATACCACTATCATTTTTAATCTTCAGTTTCCCTAGCTGCAACCACAGTTTATAGCAACTACCTTTGAGTAATGCGGATTGACAACCCCAGCCACAGGGAACACAGTAGCTGTCATTCAAAGCATAACAATACAGGAGTATGACATGTGAGTGTTAGGTTTTAGCGAACCTTGGTAACAGTGTAACAGGAGTATTTTACAGTGAGGAAGCTGGTTATTACAAGTACTCAATGAAGCTCACTTTAAAAGTGAACCTGTCAGGACTGCTGTTATGTCACAGCCAAGGATCCCATCTAGCACTGGAGACTACAAGTCACCTAAAAGCCATTCTAGTTCCATTTGAAGGCAAACCCCAGCAGCATTCTGCATGGTGGCAGTCATGTCTGGAAACTGGTGCTGCATCTGGAATCCTGCAGTTGCAGCCTCCAGTGCTGGATGGGACCATAGCCATAGAAGCACCTAATATACGGCAAGTACAACTTCAGCCAAAACATTTCCAGTTTTATCTTGAGTGCCCTCTGCTCCTTCACTGGCTGTGATTGACTGCAGTGGCAGCCAGGGGCTACCGCTGCTGTCTCAGCCAATAAGGGAAATACCCAGGAGAGCCATTGCTCTCATGCACATCACTGGATCGTGATTTGGCTACCATGCACAGCTGCATCAGATTCTGAGTGCTACAGTTTTAGTATGTACCCTCCAAAAATGTAGTGCAACTATGCATAGGAGCTAGTCAGCTTCAAGGTTATATTAAAAGCATAAAGAGGTTCTAAAGTCAAGTTTATCTTAATGCATTCTATGCATTAAGGTTAAAAAAAAAAAAAAAAAAAAAAAAAAAAAAAAAACCCTTCTGCAACCAGTTTCCTCCATCCCCAGCCTAGTACTTGAGACCCATCACGATCCAGCGATGTGCATGAGAGCAGCGGAATTCCAGGTCTGTCCCCTCATTGGCTTAGATACAGCAGCAGGAGCCATTGGCTTCCACTGCTGTCAATCACAGCCAGTGAGCCAACGAGGAGAGGGGGGAGGTCAAGCCATGCTCTGTGTGAATGGACATACAGCTTGGGAGCGAGCCTCCTTAAGTGCCCCCATAGCAAGCGGCACTTGGCAGGGAACCCTAAGAGCAATGGGGCAAAACCATTACACAAAGCAGGCAAGTACAACTTTTTTAAGGTTTTCCTTTAGAATCAGTTTAATTGAACAAGCTGAAGTTAGAAGCTGATTGGTTACTATGCACAGCTGCACCAACTTCTGCATGCACCAGTTTTAATAGATCACCCCACTGATTAGTCCTTTTGGGATCATAACAAAGCCGGCTACAGAGGGATGAGAAAGATCTGTCAGCCAAAAGATAATCTCTCACCTCCAATACACCTTCATCCTATATGCTAATGTGATCTGATGTTCTTCCCTTAACAAAAACACACAAGTGTCATAACACCAGTAAACAGAATAGTCACATGCCCATATTCACGAGGCTGAAATTCACTTGTTAAGCTACTATTCATCTTAATCAGTGCAGTCATTCGTTCAGTGCTTTACAGAGAACACAGCCATTCAAAGCTGCTTCTACTTCTGAAAGTAGACACACATACACCTCTAACTGGGGCCTAGCAACAGGTCACTTAATTTTCTAAAATGCACAACTGCATCAGTGAGGCTACGTGCACACTAGCTTTGTCAGCAGGCGTCAGACAGGCATTTCAGAAGCATTAAAAAGGCTTCCCAAACTCCTATAAATACTCTGCACAAGGCAACACACAGTGCTGTTCACAGGGAAGCGTTCATGTCACATCAAAAACTGACGCCTCGTGTCCAGTCAGGAGGAGTTGAAGCCTCCCATTCAAGTCTATGGTGCTGCTTCCGCAAATGCCTGGCAAGTACTATGGGGATAATTTCTGGACTGAATCTGAATATTTCATCAAAAGTTGGTTTCGTTGAATTATGTTTTATTAGGCTATCCATTTTTAGCTCATTTTTGGCTGGTGTTCTGAATTCACAGACTGACTTACACTTTTTATATGAACCAGGGGGCAAAGTTTCCAGGTATAGCTTTTAACATTAAAGTGGACTTTCAACCATTCTAACAAGGTCCGCTCTGCTCTTCCCTCCCACTCACAAATTTGCAGAGTGTTTTAATTCAAAGTAAAAAACCTTCCGATTCATTAATGTTTCAGGACCCCAAGCATGTCCAGGCGTGCTGTCCGAGAGCTGGCCAAGACATGCCGACAGGGACCTGGAAGAGATCTTGCGGTGTGTCCTTGCATGTGCAAAGTCTTGCAAACTACCTTCTGCCATGTGACAGACATCTCAGGAGGCTTGCAAGCCTTTGCACACAGACAATGCAGGCACTGCCATGGAACTGGCGCAGACCCCACAGTGCTTGTGCACGGGGATCCAGCACTACTGCAGGTTCTCCATCAGGTCCCGTAGACCTGGTAGAGACTGGCAGCAGGTCTTCACTTGCACTGAATCTTCATGAATGATGGCAAGCATGGGAGAACTTTGGCTTTATGCAAGACAACACAAGACTCCAAGTTTTTAATTTGAGACAAGGTCAAGTGTTATAGGATTTAAAGGGGGGGTAGGTATGGTGAAGTTCCTCTTTGATACACTTATTCATGTGAAGCTTCTTAAAATCACAAAAGATTAGATTCCCTTCACCCTTTGTCACTGCAGCTTCTGTAATGGGACTGCTGTGATTGGCTCACAGCAGTCACATGATTTTGAGTCTGCTCTCAGACAACCTCATGTCACTATGGTCACATCTGTGCCCACCCTTCGTATATGTTCCATGTTTGGCAAGAGGTTCAATTACCAACATGTTTTGTGCTGCAGAGATGGAACACAAACTCAAGGCAGATATGGTATCAATTGTTACCATAAACAATCTAATCTCTTGGGCATCACAGAGAAGATCATAAGGATTCATTTTTCTTACCCTTGTTTTCCTGTCATCTGCTGTAGTTTCATCAAACTCCTCATCGAGTTTAAACTTGACTTCTGTGTTCTTGAAAGTGCTCTGTGTCTGTATCACAACAACATCACCTTCTAAACTGATTATAGTTGTTGGTTTGGTGACACTTGCAATCTGGCGGGTGGCAAAACCCACACCTGGAGAAAAAAAAAAAACAGAATAAATCAAACCTAAACTTCCCATGAATGGATTACCTTTTGCTAATAGTATTACTTTTACTATATCTATTGCTTTTATACACCATGTGCAGTAGGTGCATCTCTAGACAAATTACTGTAAGCACTCCATTCCCCACCTGTTCTCTGCCACAATCTGCGTATAGCTCATCACTGGGGATGAGCTTGGGCATGTTCAGATCCTAATCTGAACCATGGTCAGTGAGCCCACCAGTAAGCTGTCACTGTACTGGGCCAATCACCTGTGGCCTGGGCAATCCTTGCTCTGCAGCTGCATGTAAACATGGGGTGTATGCTTGCAGCTGCAGGGCATACCTAGACCGCAAATTGGCCTAGTACAGGGATGGCATCCTGGTGGGCTCCCTACTTAGGTTTAGGCTTGAAGCCAAACACTTCCAAGCTTTTCCCTACTCATCTCCATGTTACAATCCAATTGTACAATCCCCTTTAGGGCTACCAGCAAGAGCCTCACAGACTGGCTACAAATTTATTGGATAGTTTAGCATTTTTTGGTGACCCAATGACATTTTAGATAATGCAGGGACAAACATTACTCCCTAGGGCAGGGGTGTCAAACTGGCAGCCCTCCATGCCTTTGGGAGTCATGCTTGTAACTCAATCATGAAATGCCTCATGGGACTTCTAGTTTGGCAAAAGCTGGAGGGCCGCCAGTTTGACACCTGTGCCCTAGGGTTTTAGAGTATGGGTCTAGGTTAGGAGGCCTAGTAGAGTATTGTCAACACCAAAGTTGCCAATATTCTCATGCCTATTCCCCATTTCTGCATGCACAAAGCAATCAGCATGAAGAGTATATGGAATCTTGTGAAAGTTACATAATCTGGAGGTATACAATGGCATGTTTGTTGGTAAGAGGCAAGTGCAGATCGGATAAATACAATGGCCAACTGAAGGAACGCTTGCAGAAGGCTGACATGTTGCTACTTCTTGCCATGCAGGGACTGAAGATAACCAACGATGGAACATTTCTCCTCTTTGGCAGTGACTGGTCAAATTTAGATCCATTTATGGCCAGTCCCGCTCGTGGGGAATAGACCTAATGATCAACTCCTCTGGAACAGGAATATTGAAAAAAAATGTGTGCTTGATCAGTACATGCAGCCAATTCATGTCGGAACACAATAGCACAGCAGGGAGGATTCCTTCATTGCCTTCACCTCGAATGTATGGATGAGGGAATCAATTTGTTTTTTGATCAGCAAGCTAGCTGATAAAAAAAAAAAAAAAAAAAAAAAAAAAAAAGATCTAAGGCTAGCTTTAGCCTGACAATGCTAAGGCCTCATGTAAACTGAGAAAATTCATCAACTCCCCATCAATTTGTATGAGGCTTTAGCACTATCAGGATGCACCAGGAAGTGCCAATACTGGCAGGATCTGCCGGTATTCAATACATTCATGATTTTAAGGGATGCCCGTGTTTGTCTAAACAGAGTTTGGATCTGATCCTGGAAGTCTGTTGTCATTCCTTGGCCAATGAGCTGTGGTGCAGTTGATGCACAGAAAGGAGTAGGGATGCTTGTGACCATATTAGGTCAATGTCAGCAACTTCAGTGACATTGAAAGCTGGTTACTTGGGACAACAAAGTTCTCATTGCATATGCACTACTATCAGTACTTCTGTTGTATTTGGTTAGGTTCTGTTAGCAGATGACTCCGATTCTAATACTACGGCTTTTACTCTATTGGATGTGTATAGACTGTTTCCATTCAAAACAAGGATTAACCACACCTGTGGAAAGCTCAACCTTCAGGCCTCTCTCACAACCTTGACAAGAAGGTCAGAAGCTCAGTTAGCATAATGTTGGTCATTTAGATAGGACATGTGATTCCTTTGGCAAGAACCCTACGTTCTTGGCATAGATATAGTTCAAATGAAGGTATGAAAGTTTTGTATGTAATTTACTGCCATAATGTGGCAGATTTTAGAAAACCAGCAATGCAATTAAGATTTTGTCAAGAGGGCACATGCTCTGAAAATACCCCTAGCAGCCAAAGACTTTGACGTGTACTTCATGGCAGCTGTAATGGAAATATTGTTCTTGTTTAAACAACTATATAAAGCGCCAAGGAGTTTAAGGTTGAAGCAGCTGTGCTGTGGCAAAGAAATAAGCGACTCATTTTACTATGCTGCCTTTTTTTTTTTTACAAACGATTTTATTGATATAAGTAACTGTAAAACGCCAAGGAGTTTAACGAAAACAAAGCACTTTTGAAATGTACAGCTACAGAAAAGCTAAGAAAGAGAGAAAAAAAAAAAAAAAGGAAAAAGAAATTAGCGAATCAGTGCACTATGCTGCCTTTTAAACACATTTACCACATGAAGCCTAGACAGCTCTGTTCTGCAGAACACACTCACCCTTCCCCCATACCCATAGATAGCTGCTGGTGTGGACACATTAACAATATCACAATTGTCCCTTGGGGCTGAACACAGGCAAACCCAAGGCTGCTCTTTAACCCTCTCTAGGACACAACAAAGACTACAGCTATTGACATTCAGAATTAATGTCCAATATGTATATAGGTTCAGATTCCATTCCCATAAATTCCACACTTGTCAACCTATAAGTCACAGTCCCTGGGACACCATCAACCTGCTCACAGCCCATACTTTAAAAGCCCACCTTCCAGGTGGCCCTGCCTCCAAGTATGAGCCACCCACCTTTAGTTCATGCCATTTTGTGAGTTACTGTACATACGCCGTAATCGAAATGAGCTTAAATTCAGTCCAAGCTTTACCATGATGTGGGCTGTCATTGCTGGGCTAATGAGCTATGGGCAAGAGGTTCCCCACCATGCAGCTGCACATGTACAAAGAGGCATGGATGACTGACATTGAGCTAATATGGCCACATGGGCATGCAAGTGCAATGAAATTAACCTAATATGGCCATATGCCCATATTAGGTCAATGTCATGATCATGCCTTCTCCTTTGTGTGCATCAATAGTGGGCAGGGGACCTCCTACCCATAGTTCATTGGCCCAGCAATGTCAGCTAACTTGTGGGTTCAGACTGAACACAAGCCAATACTCAAATACGAGTTATGATATAATTCTGGGACACAGCATTGTTAGGACAAAGAACCAAGACTGGGGACTATCCCAGCAAATCTGGAACAGTTGACTTCTATAAAAATTATTCAGGGTAATAGCATGAATTTAAAGCAGAGCCCTGGTTTTGCTGAAACCATTTTTAAAATTAGCCAGGTTATAAAAAGTAATGCACATGTTACAGTAGATGTGAATCTCTCATATTTGAATACAGGCACAATTCTAGTTTTTTTTTACAGGTATTTACCAAAACATTTCAAGCTATTGTTATATAATGGATATGGGCTGAAAGTGCTCTCAGGTTTAATTTGAGGGTATGTACATCCAAATTTGAGGAAAGGGTTTAAGAATTACAGTTCTTAAGAGTAGCGACCCCCCCTTTTTCAAGGGACCAAAAGTAATTGGACAGTTGAATCAAAAGTGGTTTCATGGCCAGGTGTGAGCTACTCCATTATTTCTTCATCAATTAAGCAGGTAAAAGGTCTGGAGTTAATTTTAAGTGTGGTATTTGCATTTGAAATCTATTGCTGTGAACCTACATCATGCATTCAATAAGCTGTCCATGCAAGTTAAACAGGCCATTGTAAGGATTCAAAAACAAAAAAAAATTCCATCAGAGATAGCAGCAACATTAGGAGTGGCCAAATCAACAGTTTGGTACATTCTGAGGAAAGAAGAATGCACTGGTGAGCTCAGCAACATTAAAAAAAAAAAAAAAAAAAAAAAAAAAAAAAGGGCATGGACATCCACTGAAGACAGATTGATAATCGCAGGATCCTCTTTATGGTAAAGAAAAACCCATTCACAACATCCAGACAAGTGAAGGACACTTTCCAGGACATGGATGTATCATTGTCAGTCTACAGGCAAGAGAAGACTTCATGAGAGCAAATAGAGGGTTCACCACAAGGTGCAAACCATTCATAAGCCTTAAGAACAGAAAAGCCAGATTAGACTTGCCAAAAAACACATCTAAAAAGCCAGACCAGTTCTGGAAAAGTATTCTCTGGACAGATGAGACTAAAATTAATCTGTACCAGAATGACGGGAAGGGAAAAAAAAAAAAAAAAAAAAAAATGAAGGCTTGGAACAGCTCATGATCCAAAGCACAATGTCATCTGTAAAACATGGAGGCAGTGTGATGGCATGGGCATACATGGCTTCCAGTGGCACTGGGTCATTGGTGTTTGATGTAACAGAAGCAGCCGGGATGAATTCTGCATTGTTTACAGATATACTGTCAGCCCAGATTCAGCCAAATGCAGCAAAGTTGATTGGATGGTGCTTCACAGTACAGATGGACAATGATCCAAAAAACACTGCAAAAGCATCCCAGGAGCTTTTGAAGGAAAAGCGGAATATTCTTCAATGGCCGAATCAATCAATCACCTGATCTAAACCCCATTGAGCATGCATTTCACTTGCTAAAGCAAAAATAACGGCAGAAAGACCCACAAAGAACTGAAGACCGCTGCAATTAAAGCCTGGCAAAGCATCAGAAAGGAGGAAATCCAGTCTTTGGTAATGTCCATGGGTTCTAGACTTCAAGCAGTCATTGTCAGTAAAGGATTCTCAACAAAATCTTAAACATGAACATTTATGAGTATATGCATTTGTCCAATTACATTTGAGCCCCTGAAAAATGGGACTGTATAAAAATTGTTGCAGTTCCTAAAATTTGTATTTCTATTAGATTTATGTTCAACCCTTTGAACTAAAGCCAAAGTCTGCACTTCAAATTCATTCTCTCTACATGCACCCTAGCAATGGTTGCATAGTATTTCTTAGGATGGGTTTGCTGATGTAACCGTAAACTATTTCTGTTCAATGTATATATGATGTAATTTCCACCATTGGTGTCACCCTAAAACAGAAGTGCCTGAACCAGATCATTCTGGCAGGAACACAGGTGTCATTTACAAGCTAAACTTAATAT